ATATATATAGTATATATATATATATATATATATATATATATATATATATATATATATATATATATAATTTAAATGCTTTATATATTTAATATAAAATAGAATTAATATATATATATATATAATTTATATGCTATATATATTTATATAAAATATTATAAATGCATATATATATTTATATATATATTGTTTTATTTATTTGTGTGTGTGTCAGTCTCTGCTGTATAAGAAGGTCCATGAGGCTCAGTTCCGCAGTCATCTTGCCAATGAGATGATGATGTACCACATGAAGGTGTCGGAGGAGGAGGTCACTAAACTCCTGCACAGCGGCATCGAGCCGGTCCAGAAAATCCACCTGGACTTCTCTGAGTTCACGTACACGCCGCGCTCTCTGCCCGACGACAGCACTCCGATGGTACGGCACGAACACAAACCAGACCCATAACGATGCTCAGACCAGAGGTGGAAAGATATCTGAAAACCATACTTGAGTAACTTACAGTGAACATTCGTTACAAGTCACCAATTCCAAAACAACTTGAGTAAAAGTCTTAGAGTGTGTGATTTTAACAGTACTTAAGTATTTGACTTATACTAAATATAGGCTCAAAATGCACTAAATGTCAAAGAGACATGGCAGTGAGAAGCTGGAGAAAACAGGATCTATGTGCAGGTATTTAATGGAAAAAATAGAACAAACAATAAACAACAAACCAAAGGGAAAAAACAGAACGACGGGCAAACAGACAACCGTTACATTCAACAACTCACAAAGAACTTCTACGTCTGCCTCCGGTGTTTTATGGCGGTTTGGCAAGTCAACGGAACAAAAGGTGCATTACTGGCACCTACTGCTCTGGAGTGTGCATAGATTTGGAAAGGGAAAAAAACCAGATTCTATCCATTCTTCCTGTGTTTTTCAGGTATTTAAATAATATTTCATGCGCTCTTGATTGCCTTGACCTGTTTCCTAACAATACTTTTAGAGAAATATTATCAACTCCCAGCCATCCTAATTCTTAATCTTGAATTGATGACATCTTTCTTCCTATCTCCATACCATTTTGCAATTTTTATTTTAAATGTAGGAATAAACACTGCTGCTGCTGTTCGTCCAGACTCTGGCTCCTTAGACCCATCTGTAAATACCTGTAGCAATACTCTTGAATTATATATTATCGAACTACTAATACTCACAAAGAACTAAAGAAACACTAGGGTTATATATACAAGCTTAACAAGATACGAAGACACACCTAAGGGAGACGAATCCAGGGGAACCAATGAACAAACGGACTACAAACTGACTACAAACACATGGGAGACAGGAAGTGACATAAAAGTCCGAGACGAGGCACAGAGAGCATGCAACAAAAACAAGAAAGAGTTGATTTGTGAGGAGAGTTTATTATCACGTTTTTTTTTCTAAACCCAAAATAAAAATAAGCACCTCAAAATTGCAAAAAAAAAAAATAATAATAATACAATTTATACTATTTGTTCTACTAATTTATAATATTTATACCATTTTTGTACAACTAATTTAGAATTTATTCTATTTTATACGAATTTATATAATTTATACTATTTGTTCTGCTAATTTATACGATTTGTACTGTTTTGTACTACTAATTAATACAATTTTGCCATTAGGTGCTACTAATTTATACTATTTGTACTACTATTTCATGATTTGCACTATTTTGTTCTATTAATTTAATGTGATTTTTCTACTCATTTATATTAATTTGTATTACTACTTAATACAATTTTGCTGTTTTGTTTTAGTAATCTATAAAAAATGTTGAACTGCTAATTTACACAAAATATTACTAATTAATATAACTTTAGCTACTATTTAATCATTTTTTTACTATTAAATTATACAGTTTATACTATTTTGTACTACTAATTAATTCAGTTTTGCTATTTTGTGCTACTTATTTATATACTTTTCTACAAAAAGTTGTGATCTAAAGAATTAAAATGTCAAGTAAAAAGTAATTTAATATTCTCCTTACACCTTGAGCAAACAATAAAACAATATCCTTCAAAAAGGTCTCTTCGGTATAGCGGATATATAAACTAATGTCTTCTTGCACTGGATGTGTCGTGTCCTCGTCTCGTATATAAAACACCTGAGATTCACAACTACTTGCTAAAGAACTCACATTCACGTAAAGTAGCCTTGTTGACGAGTTTGGCTGAGTAAGGACAAACACACAAGATCTAGTACCTTCAATGTCTTTTGTAGCAGAAATAAACTGCTGCAGAAAAAGCTAGGTCCATGCAGAATGTAACGTGTACCTGCAACACTCATATCAAATGTAGTGGAGTAAAGAGTAAAAGTTGCTAATATTTTTGATACTCAGTAAAACGACAAAGTATTCGAAAAGATACTCAAGTACAGTAACTAATTACATTTACTCAAATACTTTACACCTCTGGCTCAGACTGAAGACAAACACTGATCAATCTCTCCGTGTGTGTGTGTGTCTGTGTCTGTGTCTGTGTCTGTCTGTCTGTGTGTGTGTCTGTCTGTGTCTGTGTCTGTGTCTGTGTCTGTGTCTGTCTGTCTGTGTGTGTGTCTGTGTGTGTGTGTGTGTGTGTCGCAGGGCGTCCTGAGCATGTTTGAAGATATGGGCGTCATCAACACCTATAAGATCGACCTGCACACTTTAGCCAGGTACAGACTCTCACAGACCGACCTGTAATAAATATCATCAAATCTAAAGACAGAGAAAAGAAAAATCTTTTAGAAATCTAGTTAAACTCTTGTACCGAGCTCTTAGAAATGGAATGTTTGCTTTTAAGTTGGTTTAATATGCTTTTGAACTATTACTTCTATTTTGAACTCCTACTTTATAATTTATACCATTTTTACTACTTATGTTTAATTTATATTGTTTAATTTATACAGTTTATGCTATTTGATTTTGTACTAATTTATAAAATGTATACTACTTTGTACTACTAATTTATCAAATTTATACCATTTGGCACTATTAATTTATACCGTTTATATAATTTTACACTACTAATTTATACAATTTGTACCATTTTGTTCTACTAATTATTATTTATTGTATTTGATAGTACTAATTAATAAAATATGAACTATGTATACTACTAAACTGAAAAAATGATTAATTTAATTTACTATATTTTTTAAGGTAAGTGGTTGCAATCGATTTATTTTAGCTACATTTAAATAAACAAATTTAGTTGACTAACTTTCAACATTTTTTCTTATTTAAATGTAGCTAAAATAAATAGTTTGCAACCACTTACCTTAAAAAAATGTAGTATAATTTTTTTTCAGTGTAATGTGTACAATTTATACCATTTGGTACTATTGATTTATATAGTTTATATTATCTTATACTACAAATTTATGCTATTTGATCTAATAATTTATACTATTTATACCATTTTGTACAACTAATTTAGAATGTATTCTATTTTATACTATGTGTTCTACTATTTCATGATTTGTACTATTTTGTTCTATTAATTTAATGTGATTTTTCTACTCATTTATACCATTTTGTACTCCTAATTAATTCAGTTTTGCTGTTTTGTGCGACTGATTTATATCATTTTCAACAAAAAGTTGTGATCTAAAGCATTAAAATGTCAAGTAAAAAGTAATTTAATATTCTCCTTACATCTTGCACACTTCTAAATCATCACTTTTATTAATATAAAGTTTCTTATTAAGTTTTGAAACACATTTGTAATGGTAAAAATGTCAAATTGAATGGACTCCGGCATAAAAAGCCTGATATTTGAGAGGAATCTATAGTGAACCGGTGTTTTCTCTGTTGTGTAGGTTTTGTCTGATGGTGAAGAAGGGCTACAGAGATCCTCCGTATCACAACTGGATGCATGCCTTCTCCGTCTCACACTTCTGTTATCTGCTTTACAAGAACCTACAACTGTCTAACTACCTCGAGTAAGCAGAGCATCACTCAAACCAGCTGCTTTCCCATAGCACCACAGCATAATAAAACACTATAATGAGTCATTATGGTGTGGGGGGAGCTTTGAATCATTTTAGTGAATCACTTCATTCAGACAGTTCACGTAAATGATTCCCTCCACAGAGTCACTGCAGCTTGTTTTAATGTAGTGAATTATTTAAGATGCTGCTGCTGCTGTTTGTCACGTACTGCATGTTTAACTCAGTTCTGTACATTAGGATGTTTTCTGCTTTTAATATTGTTTTTTTTCATTCACTGTCACTCTAATTAAGGTGGATAAAATCTTGAGATCACATGATTTTTTTAGTGCTTTATATTGTTTTGCACAACTAATTTATAACTTTTTTTTACTTTTAATTGATATTATTTTGTATAATTTGTAATATTTTGCTAATTTTTTGCCAATTTTATGATTTTGTTCTCATAATTTATCAAATGTATCTGCAAATTTTTACAATTGATATTTATTTGTTCTAATTTATACAATTCATACCATTTTCCTCGACTGATTTATACGTCTGATTCTGGCAGAGATATAGAGATTCTGGCGCTCTTCGTGTCCTGCATGTGTCACGATCTGGACCATCGAGGAACCAACAACTCCTTCCAGGTGGATTCGGTACGTCATGAACACCTTCTTCTGAAGATCTAGAGACGCTTCGGAGTTTGTGTGGAATTGCATGAAAAGTAATAAATTAATGTGTGTTGCATTTATCTGTTTTCACCAGCAATCTGTCCTCGCGGCCCTTTACAGTTCAGAGGGATCTGTGATGGAGGTACACACACACACACACACACACACACACACTCTCACACACACTCTCACACACGTGCGCACACGCACACTCACTCACACGCTCACACACACACTCACACACACACGCACACACTCACACACACACACACACACACACACACACTCTCACACGCACACACACTCACACGCACGCGCGCACGCTCACACACACACGCTCACACAGACACGCGCGCACGCTCACACACACGCACACACACACACACACACACACACACACACACACAC